AAAAAAAATGAATGAGAAGAGTGAAAAGTGTCACAATGACGGGTGGATGTGATGACAGGATGAAAGTAATGACAAATCAAGCTAGGCACTTCAAAAGTGAGATGAAAACCCGTGAAAAAAAAACAATTTTTGTCGATTGACATGCATTATTACAAGCCGTAGTGTCAGCATGCTAATATATTGATAGAACTGTAAAATACACATATATTTCTAATCATTAACGTCCAAGCATAGGCCTGACTAGTTTCGAGACAACCGGGACATCATTAACCGGGGAATTACGATAATTGTAATTTTTGCTCGATCGACCTACTCGCAAGATTTTCGCTGATGTCCCAGCTGTCAACAGGAATACTAGGCTGGCCATATGCCCTTTATTAGACCAAGGTAGCGATCCGTAGATCCACAACCGGGGGGACGAGAAACGAGTCGATTTCATGGTACATATTGGACTCGACGACGCTTACGTCGTGCGTCGTTGACGCATCCTTGTTGGCGCCTAACGTTGGCTGGGACGAATAGCGTGGACCGAGTTTCTCGGACGAATCGAAAGTTTCCAACTTCTTGGTGTTTTTGTTTATGTCAATGGCGAAGACCTGAAAGTACAAGGCAATGATGTGAGACTGTCGTCTTGCCCAAACAGCCTGGCAATACATGGGTACTAAAAAGTTTCATGTTTTCTGATTGAAAATTCGAGAATAGTAGCTGAAAAACTCCAGAACATTTTGCAACCGTAAAAACGTTTTTGAAATCATCCTTAGATTTTCCTTTCCTTTGCAAGCTTTTCACTGGCTTACTTACTTTTCTTAAGTGGTAATACGCACAAGTTAAGAAAATTCGTTGTAGAAGAGAAAGACAAAGCTTTGAACGAAATTGAGAGAAACGTGATTAAACACTTGAATATGCGCAGATTAGTTTGTGAATATTTTTTTGAATCTGGGAGGGTTAGTAGGTTTAAAGTCCTTTCCCAGACTGTAAAAAGAGACAGGAGAACTAGCATTGTAGTAAAGTTTTTGATATCATTAAGAAATGATCTTCAAAAAAAAATCGGAATATGTGCT